TAAAGGTCTAAATGAGCCCTTGAAGCTTTCTTGACCTGCACGAACATCCAGGGTCTCCGCTCCCTGCGGCTCGCCGACAAGTCACGCGTGAAAGATACTTTCTAAAACCTTATTTAAGAACGGGAGCTCAAGTTGACTTTTACTGAGAAACCAAAAACCCATATTAGTCAAGTTTGCCTCATTTTTCTGAATTTCGTTCGCAGGCAGTTTTATTGAATTCTGGTAGTTATTGAACTTTAAACCAATTTATTTACTTGTCAGAGACACGATTCGTATGTGACTTGGCTGTGACAGCTTCTCGTGGGATCTCTTCATCTTGTCACCTGCCGTCTGCATGACAATAAATATGACTTGACTTATCCTAGCGCTAATGTTGAAAACAATGACTCCAGGCACAATTCACACGGTGGCCAACCCCGAACCTTTAACGTTGACGACATAAGACAGTCCGCCCGCTTTACGTGTCTTTGGTTGCTGGTCTAAATTTTACGCCCGCTGTTTCCAAGGAAAACCACTTATTCAAGAAAGGAGACAGATCATATAAAGGCGTTTCTCTCTCTCCACCCTCCCTCCTTCCCTCCCTCCCTGCCACTCTCTCTCTCTCTCTTTCTCTCTCTCTCTCTCTCTGTCTCTCCTCTGTCTCTCTCTCTCTCTCTCTCTCTGTCTCTCCTCTGTCTCTCTGTCTCTCTCTCTCTCTCTCTCTCTCTCTCTCTCTCTCTCTCTCTCTCTCAGCTTTGGAGCATAGATATGCCAATCCACCAAGAGAGGTTGCACCAACTTATGTACAAAGAGTCCGTCTTTTGACCATAATACTCAAAAGGGAAAATAGAATGGGGAGAGGAGGACGAAAGGAAGTAAGAGGAGGGGCTTAAGACTGAAATAGAAAGTGAGATACAGGTTGAGTGAGCGCTTCTACTTTACCCAGATCCTGTGCCCAAGGCTATCTCCAGCTAGGACATCTACTCCCGTATTGTGAACGTGCTTAATCTGATCGAAAAATCAAATGTCATACTGATCAAGACTTACTTACGGTTATTTGTTTTATAAATGCGCCGCCAAACCCTCTTGCCTGTTGATTATAATACACGCATATTATGTATCACTTATATATTACTTGTAGGCCCTACATTTACACACACACACACACACACACACATACACACACACACACACACACACACACACACACACACACACACACACACACA